CATGTTGGGGCGCACAGTTCCCCGAGAGAGTGGATGCAATACCATCCGGGTTATGTGGCGTGTAGGGGTTAAGATGTTTTGATTTCACACTTGTGTGATGAACAAGCAAGCGGAGCGAACCCCACAGTCACTAAGACCTGTGGTTCTGTGATAGAAACCGGTAACCCGAGCCCCGGGACTTGGAGTGGCGAACCACATAAGGGTTCACTAAGCTAGGCGTGGTATTGCACCGGACGGCAGCAAGGCTGCCTGCCACCAAAATAGAGGGGGTGTTGGACATTCTTAATGGTTAATTTGGAAATGAACAAAGGTTCAGGAAAAACCTAAAGGCGAAGGAACGGCAACAACGGAGAGGATGAATTCGGAAGCGCAAACCTTAGCTCTGTTGAGTGGCTGTTTGGAATGTGGATGGAACGGAATAAGGATAGAAAACGACGGTTTAGAGGGGCAAACCTGCATATAGCCAGTACCGACAAAGATGTTGGAGACTGAGTTGTGACGGTTAGGAGTTAAGCATCAATCAAACCCGAAGTTAGGAGACAGAAAGTCACACATCACACTCCACTCAGCAGAATTGAAATTACAGAATAAGTTGATAAAAGTAATGGGATATGTAATAGGGATAATGTAATAATAGGGTGATCAAGCTAAGACCTGGCATGAAGGTATGAAAACCCTAACCAGGAGACTGAGTGACATAGGTTCCGTTAGGCTCCCTGGATGGGGACCTCGGGACGATCCCAACGATGGTCAGAGACAGAGTGATCTGGTTGAGTGTCCTAAACAGTCGATTCGTGCATTTTCTGTTGCTTTGGAGTATTAATCCACTGAAATCGTCAATTTTCTCTTCGATTCTACTTTCAACTTTCCTGTCTTCTTCCCGCTGTTCATTCAAATGGGCAGACAGAAGACAGCGACCAAAACCGGCAAACGAAAGTGCATGGTTGGTGGTTGTTTAAACTGAAACTGAACCGAACTAAATACACAAAAACTGGCGGGTAACTTTCCGACTACTAGTTAATGGACATAGCAGCCTGGAGTCCAAAAATTTCCAGCCGCTTAGTGTAAACTAAAGAATATTATTGTGCTAACCGCGTTTTTCAGCAGTTCCTACAAGGATATAGAATGAAAAATTAACCAAATCTATCCCAGGAAAGTAGTCCCGTTAATCTCAAAATTTTACCAGCAGGTTGCTGTCAAATGCCACGAAACAGGTGCTTGACCCAATGTAAAAAAATAACTGGAACGTTCATCTCTATGAAATTCTAGAATGCAAGGACTAAAAAGAAATCGGCAGAATGAAAACAAACGCAAACCCACCTGGAAATGTTTGGACAGATCGGTCACGTGTTTGAATAGCGATCGGTCGAAGAAGACGTGTTCGTGAAAACCAAGGTCAATAATACCCCACAGACGGTTAACACAAAATATGCATCCACGCTTTGCCAATAAAACGTTTGAATCTTCTGTGCTTTGAGTTTTATTCACTATCATTAAGTGAAGCGAGTTCGTCGGATGCTGGGTGATAGTCTGCAAAATCTCATCGAGTTTGAATATTTTGTCGTACTTCTTCAAAAACTCTTGTAGCTCTATTTGAGTCCACCCAATGGAATTGTGAACACTCTTGGGAGCGCATGAAATTTCACTCAAAAGTGAAGCGAAGGGCAAGGATTCAGTATGCTCTTGTGCCACTGCGTGCATCAGCCAAAGAAGTGCCTTACAATCTTCGATACTGAGAGCAATCACATTTCTCTCTATATTCGAGGATCGGCATTTGATGGTACTTTCTGGGATGGTTTGTGTCATTTGCAGGTGCATGGGAAGCTGAAAGCGCTCAGTCGCTCCCTGTTTGCGAGGGTCTTCAGATCCATGGAAAGACAGAGGTCGTGGTTTTCGCTTGCCAAAAGTCGGTTGCCCTCCATTCCAGTGAGTGCGGATTTTATCACTCAGACCAACTAATTCACCTTGTATTTGAAAAAACAATGGATAGCGGTGAAGAAAACGTGCAAACTCTGCCTGAGGTCCTACTATCATTCTAATGGACGGAGAGGCCTGAGATAAGTGACCTGCTAGACTCTTTATGGGAATCCAACGCTCTGGTTTCCGTAGTAGTTGGTCCTGAAAGTATTTCACGGCCTCCATTTCAATCTCGAGCGAATTCGGTATTTTCTCGAAGTAATTTGGAGCCCCAGAGTTGGAAATATGTTCAGAATTATTCCTTTTAAATCCATTGTGGCATACTCGAGGTGGAGAATCTTCCTCGCCAAAAACATTAGAAAATACATCGGTAGTGTAGACGTATCCTCTGGAAACTCGAAACAATGCCGGTTGCTGCTCTATAAACATCTCGAGTGCGTCGGGAGTGGGACCAACGATTGAAAAGAAATCACTGCATCTCTGGAACTTTGATGCCAGGATACTCCAAAGCTCGTCAATTCTTCTACATCCGTCTTTCTGAATTAACAGCTCAAGAATAGCAAGTGAATAAGTTTCAGTCATTTGACGATGAAGCACCAGAGGTGGGCTTTCGAGCGACGAGCGTTCCTCAAGGTCAAGCTCAGTTCAGTTCAGTTCAGTTCAGTTACACAGGACTCACGGGGATTCACGGGGATTGACGGGCTTGGGAACCGAAGTTTTCGAGTAG